GGATGAGTCAGGAAAGTATATACAATTTGATTTTAGTGTCCGTCTTAGCCCTTGCACTGACCCCCTTACTAACGGCAACGCCTCCGATGATAAGCCTAAGCTCCAGACTTACCGGTAAGCAGTTCAAGGGTAAACGCCTAGGGCTTGTTCAAACTAGAGATGGTTTTAGAGAGTACAAAGAAGCGTTGAAGCAGCAAAGGGCGCACGACGTGCCCTCCATCTACCGCACAAAAGAGCATGAGGATCAAAGCTACAAGACGGAGCCCAACACTCCAACGCATCAGCCGGCCATGCAGAGCATGGCCAGTTCGAAGTCGGACCCCACGCCCCTCAATTCGGCCTTCAGCAGCCCCAAGCGTGTGTTTGATGACACCAGCATGACCAGGAAACCCGTGCAAAAAGTCCAACCGAGCAGGAACAGCAGTTTTTCGCCCGGACATTCGTTCAGCAATGGGAACAGTTTGGAAAAGCCGCGACTGATCCACGAGTACGTAAAGCCCAAGTCGCCCAGCAAAGCCTCCACCGGGATTATGTCGCATGATAACGTGCCAATCAGTAACGCTGCCTCTGTGATTTTAAACGGTAATTTCTGGCAGGAATTGAGGCTTTTTTCGAGTTAACTTATTTGAGTGTGCAGGGAAGAGCATGAGCCCCAGACTGTCCGCGAGTAGTTTCGTCAATGGAAATGGCACGCCCAAGGGAACCAATGGGATGAAAACCCCCAGGAACATCAGCTGGACGAAGGAGACCACCGAAAAGATGAGCTTCACCATGAGGAGGGAGATAGACAAGGCCAGGGAGGAGACTGAGTTGATTCACCAGTTGAGGAATGTGAGTAATGAAGGTTCTAGTTTAAATGGGGGTTTAAAGGTTGGCTTTTCTATTGCAGATAATAGAGACTCGACTAAAAATGGCGCTACCGGAGGATTTGGCCTCGGCCCTAACGGATGGCGTGGTTCTTTGCCATTTGGCCAATCACATCAAGCCCAGATCTGTGGCGAGCATTCATGTTCCGTCGCCTGCAGTTGTAAGTGTCCGTTCTCTTGTTCAGCCGAGCCTTTTGGGTTAAAAGTACCAAAAAACYTCGAGTTTCTCCCMGACGGGCTCGTTTTCGCMTGCYTCTTCTGCCGAGATTACGCAGTTTTCCCCGATTTATTGGCCAATAAACTAYGTTTGAGGCAAAAAGAGTGAATTATTCTCGTTTAATAGGGAATATTTCTCAGATTTCGTAGGCGAAACCAGCAGAATTTWWTTTTTTCTGAAATARWCGCAAGTTCGACCCGCGAATTGATCTCAACTGTGAAACGGAGGCAAACTTACGCAAATTATAACATATTTTGGATCAATKTCCCGATGTTTTTAGAATATTCTGRCAATGATTGCAACTTGTTTAAGATTTCCTGACSAAGTCGCCAAAAAGTGAGTGATTTTCCTTCTTTAATCGCAAACACATCGATATTAGTCAAAATAAACCAGTTTTGAGATAAAAAATAGTGAATTATTCTCGTTCAGTGGAAATATTTCTCAGTCTTCGTGGGAGAAACCAGCAGAAATCTAGTTTTTCCGGAAATAAACGCAAATTCGACCCGCAAAATGTCCACACTTGAGAATTGTTGATCGGCTTTTGCGTGAAAAATCATCAACAATTCATTTGTCGGGGCCAAAGTTACACAAATTATAACAGGTTTTGGATCATTTTCCCGAAATTTTGAGAAAATGTTGGCAATTATTGCAACTTGTGTAAGATTTCCTGCCGAGATCGTCAAAAAAATGTAAGATTTTCTTCTTTGTTCTTTCTCTAAACGCAAAAACATCGATGTTAAGCAAAACAAACCAGTTTTAAGACAAAAAGAGTTAATTATTCGCGGTTAGCACGCATATTTCTTAGTCTTTGCGGTGAAACCAGCAGAGTTCTAGTTTTTCCTGAAATAAACGCAAATTTGACCCGCAAAATGACCTCAATTGAGAATTGCTGATGATTTTTTACGTAAAACAATTTTCCGAAATTTAAGCAAATTATAACAGTTTTTGGATAATTTTTCCGAAATTTTGAGAAAACGTTGGCAATTATTGCAACTTGTGTAAGATTTCCTGCCCAGATCGTCAAAAAAATGTATGATTTTCTTCTTTGTTCTTTCTCTAAACGCAAAAACATCGATGTTAAGCAAAACAAACCAGTTTTGAGGCAAAAAGAGTTAATTATTCGCGATTAGCACGMATATTTCTTAGTCTTTGCGGRTGAAACCWGCAGAGTTCTAGTTATTCCTGAAATAAACGCAAATTTGACCCGCAAAATGATCTCAATTGAGAATTGTTGATGATTTTTTACGTAAGGCAATTTTCGCAAATTTACGCAAATTATAACAGTTTTTGGATAATTTTCCCGAAATTTTGAGAAAATGTTGGCAATTATTGCAACTTGTGTAAGATTTCTTGCCGAGATTGTCAAAAAAATGTATGATTTTCTTCTTTGTTCTTTCTCTAAACGCAAAAACATCGATGTCAAAAAATATGGGATTTTCCTTCTTTAAATGCAAATACATCGATGTTGTGTGTTCTTAGTCTCTGTGGGTGAAACCAGCAGAATTCTAGTTTTGCCCGAAATGAACGCAACTTTGCCCCGACAAATGAATCTCAATCGAAAATCGCTAATAAATGTTAACAATATTCAAATGAGGTGCATTTGATGGAGGCAAAAACGAGCGCAGTCCAAACACTTTTTATTTTGTTAAACGGGGAATTTATCCATCGGTAGCTATTCGATGTTTATGCGGCACAATTCTAAAGGCTCGGCACACTTGCCCCGTTAAAAAGCCGTATTTTATGACCGAAAACATTTTGAATTTTCAGCCTAAACTCACCATGGCCCGATGCAGACGAAACGTGGACAATTTCATCGAAGCCTGCCGCAAAATCGGCGTAGACGAGGTGAGTCTTGTTGTGTGACTTGCTTTGGTATCAGACCAGCCAGTCCATCCAAGCTTGGATGGACTGGCTTTGGCTAATTTAACCAACAGTTTGACTAAAACAAGTGGATTTTCTCGTAGCTAAGACCGTTTGAACATGTGAAATGCATTGATTTTGGTTAACTTTTGCTGAGTGTCTGTGTTGGTAGGTAAAAACGCTTCGAAGATTACGTAGATATTCATTTTACTTTCGTTGCATGCCTAACCTACGACTAACTACTAACACACTGTATAATTGCGGATTTTTATTGGTTGGGATCCAAAGAAGCTCCTAAGGAAGGATCCAGTTGCTGAGGAGCCCTCGAGTTGTCGCCTCCAAAATGGTTTAAACCCCGATTTTGAGTAGAAGGACTCACCTCAATATGGTTGAGCGATCGGAGGACTCTATTAAAAACAGATGACCTCCACTCTCTGGCTCTAACAGCTAGACTAGACCTGCTCTCTTCCCTCTCTCACTAGTTTACACTATGAATATCGACTGATCTTTTGAGCGTTCTTTCCTGCCGAAACACTGGCAGACAGTAAGAGTGAGACTGTGGTTGGTTGCAGGGCCGGCTTTGTAACACGCTGGATGTGACGGAGGCCTTGCATGGTCGAGGTTTGCCTCGATTGGTGGCCACTTTGGAGGAGCTCTGTCGAATGGAGAGTCCGCAGGGAGAATGTCGCGATAATGCTGCCCAATCAGATTCTTGCGCCAGACAGGCGCCCACTTGGTTGGACACCATTATCTCACTCGTACTGCTGTCAGTGTTTGCCTGCACTCTGGCTATTCTGGTCACTTTTCCGCCGCCGAAATGAGAGATTGAGACACGAGAGAAACATTCCCGAGTGTTGGAGTTGTGGCGGTTTAGCTGCAGTATTATTTACGTATTCAAATCCCGGACAAACAGACCAAATCCCCGTTAAAATAAGGAGAATTTGCGGTGCGACAACAGAGTAAACAAGCTCACTCGGCGGATTCCTTTGGATTCAACTGCTTGGTTTACGTAGCTACCAGCATTTCTATGCGGATTTGCTTGTTTGTCTGATTGCGCCACCAAAGTGTGCGCGTGGAAAACCGACCAGTTTTTTGCTTAAATATTGTGATGTTTGCTTTACGCCCAGTGCCTGAACCGTAGAAATTAGCTGCAAGGAAAGGGAATTTTCGATTTAGGTGCTACAGTAGTTACTAGCTTAGTTACGAGGAGGAATCGAATAATGTATTTCGTATGTAGGGATTAAGCTTAAGCGGAATGGATCGAAATTGGAACTTCAGTGCCTATACGAGCAACAGTGTTTAGGAGACTAGTTTGTTGCGGATTTTAGCTGCTATTTTGACTAAAACCG